ACATTTTATTACCATCATCCTCAATCTTTATTTTATTAAAAGTCATTTTTATATATGTATTATACCCCAAATTGCTATAATTTGTTAGACAGATAATAGGTTGGTAGGGATTGTCCAACCACCTGTTGTCTGTTCTACACACAAGTACCACAATACAAATGTATATCTTCNATCATATTTGCTAATGACAACTCCATCTTATACCGTCAAATAAAATAACATCTTATTTTGATGAAATAATATATCATCATCATATTTGACCAATTACAACTTATTCTATTCATATATATATTATTACGAGAAATTATACCATCTTATATTCATATTATAAGGTCAAATCCTTAGGACCTTTTGTTATCTAAGTAATTAAGATCTATACTAGAGGACCCCATTGGAAATAAGCTGCCACCCAGCTTTCATGGGATATCCTAGGTTAAAGCTTAGTCAAACAGATACATTGTAATTATAGTGCTCCAAAATTTGTGATAATAACTTTGATGTGATAAGCTAAATACTGTGATAAATCTGTGATTATTATGCAATTGAAATCTGTGATCATTTGTGATATTTGTTCCTGTATCTTGCTTTTACCGAATAAATATTATTATTATTATTATTTGTCATATCAAACTATTGAACTCGTTTAATAAATTCAATATGCCATAGTTCTATATATCAGATCCTTTATACATCCATGTGTTAGGGCTTTTGCTTGACAGTCATACCCGTGCCGTTTGATATCAATCTGACTGATGCTTTAATACTGTTTAGCGTTGGGAGAAGAACCCGAAAAACGTTGTCTTAATTGTCCTGCTCTTCAGATCTTTCACTGTATCAGTACGACAAACTCTACATCAGCACATGTAAGGTCTGCTACGTGTAGCGGTCCTATTCTGGCGCCAACTCCCGAGTGACATAGACATCGCTTTATTCGTTTCTTAGAACCCCGCCTTGACCTGACTCCTATCTTGTGTCGTACAGCTTATTGTGTAATATATTGTGTGACACAATGTGAAAGCCGATTGTGCGTTCAGGGATATCATTGCATATGATGTGAACAGTCGAAAGCACCTCAATTGAATAAAACGATGTTGCGTCCATAATGCATATCGAGTACGGACATGACATCTAGTCAAGTGAGTGAGAAATGAATCAACTGAAATAAAGGTATGATTATTTTCTCTGACAAACATGTAAAACTCTCACAGTCGCTGTCGTCAGATTTTGGCGACATATCCCCCATGTTTTATAGAGCAGTCGATAGCTGACCATAAACAGGCGACCTGTCAGACTATTTGAGGCTGCGATTATGGTAAGTTTTAGTAGACTAGTATATAATAAGATAGGCTTCTGCAAGGATTTGACATGAAGAGGTACTTACTGTAATTGAAACTCACAATTAGTAGTGATGACATGTTTACCGCAATGCCTGATTGTAATATGTTCTTAATTTCTTCTGCAAAACCTGGTTTGAACTTTGAACAAAAATAATGATTTAATCAAATTCGAAACCTTTCCCAATAACATGTATTTTTTTTCCAAAACACCTTTGCCAGAGTATACGTAAATAAAACATATATATCAATCGTATTTACCATTCTGAGCTTGAATTAAGGACACTACAAACTTTAAGCATTTTCCTCGAGTTTTACTTCCAGCTTGACCAGCAGTGTTATATGTCGATCGCTGAAGGACAAACTTCCAAAGATGCAGGATGATGACGGATGAACGTAACACAGGCACACACACATGTCATTGTACCTTTCATAGTTAGTAAAAGATAGCAGTAAGCCAAACATGAGTTACACTGCATCAAACAGCTGTTTCGTCCTTCTGGGACTCATCGCTGATGCTAGGGGCCCAAAAGTTGAAAATCTTATTCCGTCATAACTACTGAGGGATGACGTAAATATCAATTTATTTATGAATTTAACAGAGTACAAGTTAATCTTAAATAAGACTGGATAAGTGATACAATCGTCATCATGATATAATAGAAAATGTGCTACTTCTTTGTATAATATGAAGGTCGTTTTTTTATTATGCTCATTAGAGTGTCTTGTGGTTTTGTTATCATTTACGGGTGTCGTCGATGAAGCAGAAACGCTTACCCTTCCGGAACACCTGGTCTCATACTCCTTGTGTTTTCCAATGGTCTCCATGTAAATCTGGCCTTTGTTTGTATTTTGTTTTATCGATTTTGAGTTCGAATTATGCTTTTGTTGACATTTTTGTACTCTCTTTGGTTTTTCAAAACAAATGACGTGTGCTTGTTATTTGTTTATTTCGAAATCAGCCATAAAAATATGACTTGCTATATAAATAGCATTACAAATGCATCACAAGTAACAGTCATATCAGAATATAATATTCGCTCCATTTATTTGGTTTTCTTTTTCATCTATAAAAGTAGAGAACATAAGAGATATGGCAATCACAGACACTCGTATAGCACCGCTAAACCATGAAAAAGAGGAATACATATATATAAGATCTTAAATGAGTTTTCATTTCATATGAGATTTTATGAAACAAGTCTTAGAAGTTTATATTTCTGCGAGCCTTGGCGAGCAAAAATCAAAACTTCGAGACGAGTTTCATAAAAGCTCATACATAAGTGTATGAAATGAAAACAAATTTAAGATACTTTTTATCACATAACACAGAAAACTTATATTTTGACAGGTTTTAAAGCCAAAATGTAGAGGGCTTAATCAAACGGAGACTACCATTTTGTTGCGCCATTCACAATTTATGACATCAGGTCAATGTCCCTACTATGACGTCACAATCGAGTTCTGACTTGCACAGCCAATGAACAACGCTCCAGGGTATATTACACTAGTGACATATTTGTAAAAATATTACACGGGCGAATTCACTGGATAACAGGCCGATTATGTGATAAAAATATATTTCATATTAACCAATATTTTTTTTCTAAATAAAATATAAATTAACAAAACCTTTATCGATCGATCACGTAACAGTTCAAATGTATCTGTTGCTACAATTTAAGGTCATTTTTCTCATTACCAAGAACGCATGCAGATATTCGCGAAAAACGTTTCTCTCTTCATCTTTAACATCACATTTTGCTCCAGGCCTATTGTCTTCCATTTGACTCGCGATTCCATGACTGTCTATTATCTTTATTCTGACGTCACAGTGGGCATTATTACCTGTGCACAAAATACATAACACGGGTGTATAACAATTAGCATAAACGATAATACAATTTGAGAAAAATTCAAATTACATGAAACATTGATCAGATATATCACCCGTATCACACTTTTGCATTGATATGCATTTTTACAGAGACTTAATGATTAGAAATTAACACATTGTAATGATATACCAACATTACCATACTACTCTGGTATATCATTTATTAACATACCACACCGATTACCAACCATTAATATTTACACTCTTATACCGATAGTTAAACAATGCTATCCCAGCCATTAACATATTGAACTGGTATAAAACTTGTGAACGTATAATGGACTATCATCCATTAATATATGAAAATATGCCATCCAATTAAAGGCAATTGCCTATTGCACTAATATATATATATCAAATGATAAACCCTATTGAGCTAAATAGACACCGGTTTTCGTAGACAACACAATACCATTGTATATCAATATTAGAACTATACCCCCAGGACTATATTATACTATGTAACTAGTTATTAGTGCCATCGGCAACAGTCTTATCTTCAATTATGATGTGTTTCGTGACGGAATTACACTACATTTAACTGACACAAGAACCTGTTCATCAAAACAGATAAACAACTTTAGGATATCATAGAGATAGTATAATGTCGTTTTAAGTAAATTCAATTTAAGTCGATTATTTTAATGCTTTATTGTGTTATGACATTCCCTACTATGTCACTTTCGAGTGTATCGTGTTCAAATGTTTTGTCTTGAGTACCATCAAAGTATTGAATAATTTCATTAAAGGGGTAATATTTTCCGGAATAGAATTAGATAATTAGGATGGTGTCACCTTACATCATTTATATGTAGGTAAGAATTAACATGACGATTATAAATTGTATATAAAATGTCTGTCACTCATCACTTTCAATTTCTCTTAAAATTCCATCCTTTTATTCGTTAAATGAGCCAAAACGAAGTATATTTGTAACTTTGATAGAATAGTTTTGATACAACACATTGCCATTTGTATTAGATTATGTACACTGTTTTTAAAATACCTGGGTATTATAATTATAATTGCTGTTGCTTGGAAATTTAAATATCCTTGATCTGGACACAAACTGTCAATGATTTTATGCCCTCAACTTAGTTACTGTCTACCGAGTCATTTTAAATAATTGTTATTTTAGCCGTAAATTCAACAGTGCATGAAAATAACACTTCGTGAACTCAATGTTGTAATATACGGTACTATTATCTGGTTTGTGAATCCTCCCCAGCTACCTCCTTAACCCACAAAGTCACCTCCATAATAGCCGCAATATTTTCTATTAATGCAACGACTACGTCCTTAGTTCACCAGCTATCTCAATAAAAGTCGCAGTGTTATTCCTTAATTTCAATGTCCTGAAACTTATTGTTTGAACGGTTTTCTTTACAATATATTTAGATGTCTATGGCGACCCAGTTTTTTCCCCGGTAGATATATAGTCCAGAGCTGATAACATAAACAGCTATTTTTTAAAATTATCATATAAGCCTGTTGACGTCAGATTACTGTGTATCAAACTAACTCAACGTTGTATATGGGCATACACATTCTTCCTTTTGAACTAGGAGCAGTGCTGCATTGAATTATCAGCTGCCTTCTGACCTAGTACGTTTATTTTAGAGCTTTGCCAAGGAACTCGTGCCAGTATTTCCTTGTAACGGACGCAGGTAGGTATTGAACGAGTCTAGCACCTGTCAATTAACAAAAATAACGTGTCATTCAATTTTATTACTGATTATTTTTAAAGATAAGTTAAATTAGAAATGACAAAAGGGCCTAAACTTGCTCTGATATCGAACCACGTGATGTCCATATATCGGATACTATATATAGTATATTGTTATTATTATTGGAAAATTAGATTGGTATTTATTCAAATCGCATTAACATTATCATTTATTATACCGTTAAATGTTTTCATCACAATATTGACATGGAACATAAATTTACTGCTAAAAGTAAATAGCCAATAACATTTTATTTACATTTAAAGAGTATGTATACTCACATCTTTATTATTGAGAGGCGACGCTTTTGCATATTCATACAACGCCTTGTACACGTCGCCATCGTAACGCCCGAGACAGGAGTCCAGGACTTGGTCAGGGTAATCGAACGCATCCACTAAGGCAACAGCGTTAGGTCGGATCTCCGCCAGTAGGTACATCAACTTCCGGGTCACAGTGTCCACCTGACTTGCGTTCATGAAGCCATCCTGAATAACATCAATATTCATTTGTGTCGTTTGTCCAGTTCAGAAACAACTCTTTTAGGATTTATTAGCATTTAACAAGACATGATTATAACTTTTTATGCTCTAGATTGATCGTATTAACATATTAAATCAATCCCTCCAGCGCAACGGCATGTCTATGTATATCGATTTACCATTGTGCAAAGTTAAAATGAAAGTTTCTTTTCAAATTTACTTGATAAACTTCGTGCTTCAACAACAACACAATGACTAGCAGCAGAAAATAATACGTAAAAACATATACAATTGTACATACATAAATATATACTGCTTTCTACTTTTGTTTTATTGGTATAAGGAAATGAACGAATTCTTGATTCGGTAATAGTGACAAATGTTTCATATAACACATTTTCCTTTTTCTGTTTACAAACGTCATCTCTCAATCATTTACGTTTATAATTATGTACCAGACTATAACTTATCGTCAGGAAAACATTTCATCAAATAATCACCTGAATAAAATCGCCAAGATTCTCTACCATGCCGTGGACTCCGTACAGCTTACACAGTGCCGTCATCACTTTCTTAGTCTGGTCGTCAAGGTTACTCCCGGTTATCCTCGCCGTGAACGTTTTCACAACGTAAGTATGACAATGCGCCTGTTGAATAAACGACAAATCTTTGATCATTATTGAAATGATCAACATATGTGCGTTAACTATGGGAAAAATGTAACGAGGACGAGAACATTTTTAAGAAGGCCCGTGTTAACTACTGTCCCAGCATGCAGTTAGCGATACTTTCGTGTTTACTTCGTTGCCGGTGATAAAACGTGACCTAGATCACCCAATTATTCAAATAAGTTCGTTTCTGCTGGTAAAATATTGTCTTGTGACGCCTGGTTTACATTTCATCAAAAACAACTGCGCACAGCTTATATACTATGTCATAATTTCGGGATGTTTTAGCAAATTTCCATTCTGCAGCCAGTTTATCAAGGGTGTGAATGGAAAAGATTGAACATGTACCGGCAGGATTATTCCCTTACTCTACAACGTCACACCAGGTTCACTTGACTGCGTTTGCATTTCAAGGGTGGCCTTTAGAAGAGCGTTGCATTAACATGGTTTGTTGGGAAAATAGATGATGAATAGCCAATGAAAAGTGTCGTTACATCGCTGACGTGGAAGTATAGCGGCTTAAGATAATCTGAGCAAATCCTGGCCTTGCTATTTTGTATGATAGGTGCTAATGATAAGAGACAACTTTCCGTACCGTTCAAGAAATATTAACGTACGATTGCAAATATGTCAAATCACGAGGACCAACAATGTTTTTTGTCACTTAATGGTGATGCAAAATCTTTAAAATGAAATCATAACAGAGCAGGTGTAGATAATTATAATAACACAACTGATGAGTATAATAGTTATATACCATAGATGAGAACGAAATCATAATAAATCGGCACACCAATGGCAATGTTACAAAGGGAAACCGGGACGTAAATAAACATGTCATGAATACACACAAAATCAACGAAAGGCAGTTATCGTGGTCACAAAACTCTTAACAGCAGGACAACGTTTCATACCATAGTCGCCCACACTAGTTGTTGTGTGGATTTGTTCCATGCCTCCTGCTGGGTGAAGCCCTCCTGGACAAGTCCCTGGATATTCATGGCCGCTGCTTTCACCATCCTGAGAATATATATATTATACAAAACGTAATCTATCTTTTGTGAGTTGTTGCTGTAGGATATTTTAGTCCACCTAGCACGTAGCATCTGTGAGCATATATCATAGCACAGCGTTCGTCAACAGTCTAATGTAAACATTTTTCTTAAACGAAATCAATTCCATGACATAAATGACTTTGACAAACAAGAAAGAAAGGTCACAGGAATCAAAAGTGTTGAAAGGTTCAAATGGCTATACTCCTTATTAACAAGTTTGCTAATATGTTTTGCAGCACCTTTAAAAGTTGAGCGAGAGGTATTTATTTAACTTGGAATCAAATCGAAGATAACAAGAGATTAATCTTTTCGTCACTTTCGCGGAATGTGATAAATCATAATGCTTGATGTTAGACAAATTATTTACTGCAACGTTTACTCATATGGTGAACATATACCACATAGTCAACACACAAGGACAAAATAGAAAACAGACTCAATATACAAGGACAAAATAGAAAACAAAGTCCACATACTAGGACAAAATATAAAACAGTCAACATACAATGACAAAATATAAAACAAATTCAAATACAAGGACAAAATATGAAACAAAGTCCACATGCAATGACAAAATATAAAACAAAGTCAACATACAATGACAAAATATAAAACAGAGTCAATATACAAGGACAAAATATAAAACAGAGTCAACATACAAGGACAAAATAGAAAACAGACTCAACATACAAGGACAAAATATAAAACAAAGTCCACATACATGGACAAAATATAAAACAGAGGCAACATACAAGGACAAAATATAAAACAAAGTCCACATACAAGGACAAAATATGAAACAGAGTCAACATACAAGGACAAAATAGAAAACAGACTCAATATACAAGGACAAAATATAAAACAAAGTCCACATACAAGGACAAAATATAAAACAAAGTCCACAAACAATGACAAAATATAAAACAGAGTCAACATACAAGGACAAAATATGAAACAGAGTCAACATACAAGGACAAAATAGAAAACAGACTCAATATCCAAGGACAAAATATAAAACAAAGTCCACATACAAGGACAAAATATAAAACAGAGTCAACATACAAGGACAAAATGTAAAACAGAATCAACATACAAGGACAAAATGTAAAACAGAGTCAACATACAAGGACAAAATATGAAACAGAGTCAACATACAAGGACAAAATAGAAAACAGACTCAATATACAAGGACAAAATATAAAACAGACTAAATATACAAGGACAAAATTAACCACACAGTTAACACGCCTGGACAAAACATACCACAGAACTACAAACAATGAAAACATTATCTCATACAGTCAACACACAATGAAAAACAATACCACACCATCAGCACTTAAGGACACAATATATCACAACATTGAAACACAGAGCTAAGATAAATTCCAAAGTATCGCAGGGGACGCTGATGTTTACCTCGCCGCACGGTGTTCGTATGCCAGCAAAAGACTCTCGAGGGACACGTCCGATTTAATCGTTGACTTGATGGACAGGTCAGTCCCCAGGTAAGACACGAATCCTGGAAGTTTCTCTCCCATCTGGACTTTGGTGAAACATTTCATAAGGTATCTGTAAAAAGATATTTGACCTGCATTAAGTATCGGTCACTCCTCCATACCAAGAGATTCTCACATACACTATGCAATTGTAGACATACCCCGGACAAAATGGCGCAATGTGCTGATGGCCGGACGGAGGAGAGGAAACATATATAGTCCTATTTGTATCTGGTAATACGGGGGTGGGGACTAATAAAACGAATTTAGCAATTCCTATTTCTTATCCTTATTTAGCCTCTGCTTAATTTCATAGCTCAATATCAGATCAAATTACAATACCGACGGAATGATGTAGCCGAACACGAACTTGAAGGGAATCGAAAAGATTCCGAGCAGCTTCTTCGCGTTTTCATCTCTTCGGAGGTTTGCAAAGGAGGGTTTTATTTTGAAACATTCACGTTGACCATAGTTTCAAACATAAATTGAACACTCCAAACAGATTTGTATCATAGTTAAGACAAATCATCTAACAAATTCACTCTCACTGTAAAGATGTACTGATGTTTGAACACGCTGCCAATAAAATCAGCCTTGCATATAATATGTAATGCATAACTATATTTAAAAATATGTCAATACTCAAAAGTGAAGTTAAAAAAAGACAGAACAAAATCGGATAGGAATGCATAAATACGAGTCGAGAGAAATTAAAGGCCAAAAAAACCCCGAATAAAAGCAAAATAATGCTCTTTACATTATTATCATATGTGGTCCCCATACCTACTGTCTACCACATGTGGTACCCTACGTATTGTCTACCACAAGTGGTACATATACATATTGTCTACCACATGTGGTACCCTACGTATTGTCTACCACAAGTGGTACACATAAATATTGTCTACCACATGTGGTACCGTGTCATGTTGTGCTCCATATATACCTGGCAGTCTGTAGATACAGAACCGTGTTTTCTCCCTCGTATGTACAGTTTGGTATAGCATTTACGTAGATCTTAGGCAGACCACTGGCTTGTGAGTACCCGTGTCCGCCACATGCTAGCCGACACACCTCTATACCCAGACAACAGCTGGAGCTAGTAAACGCCTTCAGACCGGCCGACAATCCATGTAGCTGGGAATGAGAAACATCTATTTTTATTGCAAATTTAGAAGTTATTAATAATTTTTTCAAATGATGACATTAACCATTGGAAAGTTGGAATCTAATTATGACCAGCCAGAATGCTCTCTGCAGAATAAATACTGCCAAAGTTGGTCAGAAAAAGTTGAAGTGAGAGAAAACTCATGAGTGCTTGTATCACATTGCATCTCTGTTTTTCATGTCCTCTAAATGTAATTTTAAAGATATCTTTTACATATATCGACAAATTAACGAATGGTTTCCGATGGAAAAAATGAAGTCTAATATTGCTATCAAATAATGACTTCAGGGAAATATCAGGTGATCAAACCGCCTGACTTTAAGTGGTTAGTCACATCGTGACGTAGCATCATTTGTGGTTGCTAGGATGAACTTTTTCAGGAAATAGATTCTATCATACACATGTATAACCAAACGAATTTTCGCTTTTGTAATCCTTAAAAAATGAAATACATTTCAATCGGGATGGGAAAATGGTATGCAGGTTATCTTGAATAAGCGGGGAGAAATGATAAGAAGTCTTGAAATGTGGACATTAAGAAACAATAATAAAACGTTAATTGTTTTCAAAGGGAAACTTTAAAATATTTAAATATCATTTATACAATATTGATATGTTAAAATTACTAATAGAGAATCCATTCATTTGATGAGACAAATATCTCAAAATGAAAATAACGATTTCTGTATTTTTGTTCATCGCTATTTGGTGAAGCCATATGATGCTGTATTCAATAATGTCAAACTAACGATTATAATCCATATATATTGTTTACATAGTTGATATATAGAATTATTTGCATGTGTGAATGTAAGCATCAAAATGTATGATAAAACATTGTTACGGTGTATGGTAAACATATTTATTTATTTCAATCCGTCTATGAATAGTTGTTTTTCTACCCTCTTTTTTAACAATACCTACCTCGCCGATCTGGTCGAGGTTGCCTTGCTCCACATTGTTGTTGACCCCGTTGTATATCCTATACACTTCTATCCCGGTCAGGTAGATGGCGAACGCTGTGGATATCAGGGGGAACAACTTGTGTTGTTGGGTCTGGTAGTCAAGAATCTGGGCCTCAGGGCCCCTGGTAAAAAAAGACGAGATCTTATGGACAAAATCTTTAAATAGAGTATTTTTCGGGACCTTTTACTAAAAACCGACGATCCGAAAGCATCCGCCATACCCCAAGGGTTAAGATCACTTTTGCTCTCTGCACTCCTGGACTATGTCATATCTACACCGATGGCTCAGTGTGCGTCACATTTCGGATGAGACAAGAAGACTGTTTATCCTTTGATAGACACCAAAAGAATCTGTCGGTCGCGTAACGGTAAAACTGACCGGCTTTTAAGTCGAGTGTCTCCCATCTACAATTTTCAGGGAACTGATATCAGCATAGCGATTTGTTTGATTTTTATACCTGACACTAATCAAATAGCTAGTCGCGTGCCTTCAGTTTTGCTATGACATATTACAGGGATTCACAGAGCGAAAGTGAACATAACCCATGGAGTATCGAGGATGATCCCATATAGACCTACAAGCTTATACAAAACAGTCAAAATAATGCACTGAGAATTAAGGATATGAATTTCATTAATAACTTCCCAATTTTCCTAATTCTTCATTATGATAATTTAATTTTGGCTATTCTCCCAATGGGAGTCTGTTTCAGATATATCGTATCTAAAATAAACATCACGAAAATGACGACACTATTTGGCTCGGTATTGTAATGATAAATTCTGATTGGTTATTTTGTTGTTTAGAATTATTGCGATTTATCAGAAATGAAAAAATATTAATTGTCTATGGAATAAAAAGTTTTGGTTGCCTTTTACATTTAATCATAAAGAAAAGCCATAATTATTTTTATATAATCATAGAATTGTGTATACCACCGTTTACCTGCAAACCTTGCTGAGATCATGACTGCTCTATGTAATTTGAGCTAAATATTTGTATTTTGTATTGTTTTACTGCCCATCGACAAATTAAGTCACTTAGGGCCAGAGAACAGTGTAAAAATAGACATTCACAAAAAACTGAGTACATAAAAACGTGGTCTCGAGGAGACAACTTCTTCTCTGCGGGTCTGCTCTACCTTTTGCACATGAACCTACATTAGGTTGAACTAAAAATAACTTATTATTTCTTTCTTCAGGCCATTTTTTTGCCAATTCGTTTTGAGCTAAATATTAATTTTTGATAAAAACATATTTATTCTACAGTCAATATGGATATGTGATCCATATTATTAACGTATATGTGGGAAGCATACACTAATATTTAAACTGCATTGCAGGTCATTCCAAATAATATTTTGAAAAGTTTCAAGTAAAGATATGGGTATTTTTTGCAATTAGAATACTGGTTTGAACGCCAACAACGTTTTTGATGAAATATATCCGTTATTATTTTATACAGTGATGACCGGTTATAATATTACAGTTTAACCTTAACATACATGTACAAACCTTTCGACTAAATATTTCAGAAATTTGAAAATACGGTGTTGTTGATTTGTTGCTTAAGCTTGTTGCTTGTTTCATAACTTTTGTAAAATTGATAAGGTTTATATATGAACACACAATGAAAAAATAAAAGAACATTTGATTCCGCATAAAAAAAAACCGGAAGCAGACAGTTTCATGATTTAAGGAGTACGTTACCCGGGTGACACTTCCGTTTGTCGCCGGACAGCGCTATATCTGACTGCGATGACGCATGATTGAGCTAGACAACGTGACACATTCGTCACTATCCCAACGCGGATCAGCGTCATCGTGCCGTAGGATATCTTGGCGTTGGCTGGCTTCACGTAGCTCCCATCTTCAAGTACCTTATTAATGTACAAATGTATATTATATACATCAGCAAATGGCATACATTTAAAATATCTCATTAGCTGGCTTCACGTAGGTCCTATTTATAAGTACCTTATTAATGTACAAATGTATATTATATACATCAGCAATCTAATTAATATTATATCTTCACATCGCTCCCGTTTACTGATATGTCGCGTTGAAGATCTAACAACATCCCGTAGAGGGTCATGTTCAGGCGACCTTTGCGTTAACCAATCAGATGACAGCTTACGCATTTCTGTAAGTGATGATGTAATGATTTCGGAACACACTTGCTATGATAAAAGACCGAGAGGTGTCAAATGAGCATCGAAAATGGCGGCGCCCATGACACCACGCCGTGTCTATCTACAAGACAACGTTTGTACAATTTGTGGATTTTGCTTTGAAATAAGAGAGACTTCCTCTTCTGGTGATGTTGTCGTTCAAAAGTTTAACAACCTGAAACTAAAATTAACCAATGACAGGCTTCGCAATATTCAAACTATCACTGGACCAGACGAAAAAGTGGATTTTGGGCTACGAGGTGTCTGCATTAAATGCTACAGGTCCTGCTTTCTGATTGGTTGAAAGAAAGAGTTATGTCGCGTTTTGATTGGCTTGTTATAAATACGATAATGCATTCATGTTGACCTCTGACGAGACCCTCTACGGGATGTTGTTAGATCTTCAACGCGACATATCAGTAAACGGGAGCGATGTGAAGATATAATTTTAATTAGATTGATACATCAGCAAATAGCATACATTTAAAATATCTCATTAGCTGGCTTCACGTTGGTCCTTTTTTCAAGCACCTTATTAATGTACAAATGTTTATTATATAAATCAGCAAATAGCATACATTTAAAATATCTTTTTGGCTGGCTTCACGTAGGTCTTATCTTCAAGTACCTTATTAATGAATAATTTATTTTGCCTATCTCCGCATAATATTTATTTTGGTATATATCGTATATACCTAAAAAGAAAAACAACTGATGACGGAACTACTTTTCACACTTCAGAATGCAAAATTACAACGCAGCTTTTTTTTAGCGCAATTGTTTAGTTTACGTAAAAATTAAATAAATCTTTAACTGTGCATTTACAACGTGTTTGTCTACTTTTTTTTAAAATTTAACTATAAAGAATGCCCAAGATTTTATAATATTTAACAGGCTCTATGAGTCAGCTAAACATTTGTCTAGTCTTTTCCAGAAACGATGAAAATATGCACTGATTCAAGGAAATTGAAATATATATGTTTCATTTATAAATATATATATTTTTTTTATTTTAAAGGGATTTTGAACGAAGCCATGTAAATACAGATAAACTTCCACCGTGTATCTTTTTCACATATAATTCACCTGGGATTTTTTTATGTCGGTAAGAAAAGGATCCCTAGTGAGAAGACTACAGACAAGTTTTGATTCTGCATGAATTAATTTTTATTTGATGTTTGATGTAGGGTTTGAATATTTAGCGAAAACCGAAGCCTCACATTACAAAACGAAAAATGTACTAATTCTTGATAATTAAGTATAAAAACTGCAAAAATAAAATAGAATTACATAATAAAGTGGAAAAATGGCTTCTCCTATAAAATAACATGAACAATTATTATTATATCATAACGAACACATCTGATGTCTGAGGTTCACAATCCCACTCCCATTCCCCTGTGTGGGTGTGTATGTGTGTGTGTGCATAATTAGTCCCTTGTAAAGAGGTGTCCATTGTGAGGGGAATCGTAATCAACGTAATGTATGCATGTTGCTTTGGTTGTGAATGTGTTGTTTATAAAAAATGAAAATTGAATAAATAATATAAACAAAATAATTACCTGAGCGTATCTCATCAACATGTTCTCCCTGGGTATCCGTACGTTGTTAAGGATTAGATATCCGTTATCATTAGACCCGTATCCAAACTTAGGACCAATATCGCCCAACTCGATTCCTATAGAAAGACAAACAACTTCAAACAAACCGCTATTTTTGGATTGATATGCATCTTTTCGAACAGTTTTGACGGTATGCATTCCAACTTCCGCATATTATTGAATATGTTTCAATCGAGCTGTGTTGCATCCCATCCAAAATGCTTAAAGACGTATTTCAATCTTTACATTTATGTTCAAAATAGCGAAGGCAATAGTATTAAATCTTTCTGATTGTTTTCTTTCTATATACTTTATTTCTGATTACCATATCATGATGTCGGAGGACCCACCAAAACCGAACACTGACAGTGTTAATACTCCACCAACGATAGAGAGCGCTCTCAATCAACTTTTAGGTCTCGTTGGAAAGATGGACTTGAGATTAGATTGGATTGAAGAGCAAGTATCTAAATTTGACAACATTGAAAAATGTTTCAGTACTGAAAAACGACACGAGAGAGACTAAAGAAAAGAACATTGAATTTGAAAAATTGCAAATGCTATAAGTGCATTTTACGAACAATTGAACGGCAAGCCTGAAAAAACGCTACAGATGTTAAGCTTTTAAAGAAACAGCTAGTAACATGTGAACACCAGAGGCTTGCTATATTGAAAAATTCTTATACTCGTTTCATCAATCTCATATGAAATGGAAACTCATGTAAGATCTTATATATATTGAAAATGGATTATTTCAGGGAAAATATTATTACCTCTTTTGTTAGAATCTATCCATCTATTTAAATACAAGATATCAATATTTTTTATTTGTGTATGCAGACGATATGGGGATTATATCTGAAACACCAGAGGGTTTGCAAACAATGTTAGACTCTCTTGCAAATTATACCAAAAAATGGGATTTGTCTGTAAATACTGGAAAAACTAAAATTGTCGTGTCTAGAACAGGAGGGATATTAAGGGGAAATGAAATATGGTTTTACGAAGGATATTGTTGACCAATTCAATTACCTTGGTGTGCTATTGAATTTAAACGGCAAATTTAGAAATTTAGACAAATTCAAAAGCAAGCTGCAGACCAGGGGAGAAAAGCATTGTTTACATTATTAAATGTTTGTAAGAAAAAATAATTTAATATAAACTCAATTATCTGTTTTTGATACTTAAGTAAATAATATTTTAAGTTATGGATCAGAAGTTTGGGGCTTCCATGGCGCAGAATGCTCTCTCCGAATAGAACTTTGGCGCACCGCTATATGCATTACACTGGAAACCCTACCCTCGCCGATTATATAACACTGTTAGCCCTATCACCACGTTCTTTTCAGCAACTCCTTGATAATTGTCAAACTTTTTCGACTCGGCGGAATTTTGCCTTCAGCACTACTAAATCATGTACAATGATGTTTGTTGGCCGATTTGATGTTAATAGTTTCCATTGGAGACTTGGTGGGATAGACTTGGAAACTAAAGAAAGTCACGAACACCTCGGAATACCGATATCCAATGATCTGACATGCTCTAAAAAAATGAAAAAATATGTAAAAAGGGACGCGCTTCACTATTCTCTATTATTGGCGTCAGCTCAAACAACAAGAACCTAAATCCTCTAACGCTCGTCAGTCTTTACAAAAAGGTTATACTACCGACTATCCTCTATGGATGCGAAACATTGAGTACGATGAGACAAAGCGACAATGATAAACTCTCTCGTTATCAACATCTTGCGGCAAACAAAATTCTAGACTTTCCAACACGCACTCGCTCGGACATAGCGGAGAGTATGAATGGTCTATTTCGTATGACCGCTGAAATAGATCGACGGAAACTACAGTTCCTTCACAGACTTATCAAACTCCTAAATGAAACGCTTGCCAAGAAAGTGTTTTTAACACGATTATATTCCTATCTTCATAAGAATACTTCTCGTCAAAAAGGTTTCATACCGGACGTTTGTGAAATACTGAAAAAGTACGACCTAATGGACTTACTCTCACTTTATGTGACTACTCGAACCGATTTTCCCTCCAAAAAAGCATGTGCATTGTGCATAAATCACGCCATCAGAAGGGTAGAAACTAGACTGTGGCGTGAAAGAATGAATAACGACCGCCAGTTTGACCGTTTCAGACTCGTCCATACTCAAATATATCCGCATATACTATGGACCCTACCAGATACTACAGCAGACTTAGCATGTGTTCGATTTGTTTCAAAATTGATTACTTACGCAAACCGAACAACAAAATTGTAGTTAACGTGGGAAAACTCGGACTGACCTTATTCACCATTACGTAACTCAGTATGACGTCACTCACTCAACAAGAGACATTTTCACAACGGAATTACTAGATATATGTGGCATAGAAACATTCCTGACTATGGACAATATTACAGAAGAAGCATTCGTACAAGTTTTATTTGGACGTAAACACCCGAACGTAGAGGAGGACAAACTGTTTCGGATGATGGCAGCTCGTTTCTTGAGTGCTGCGTCACATAATTACCTATCAACAGACGACAGGATGTAAAACGTACATCGTGACTCGATCGCATACGCGATGAATCTTTAACCAAAACTGTGCTTAATATCTATTTTTTCACTCCTATGTTTTGCATTTATTATTTGTATCTCTTTAAAGAGGAATTAAAGAATGAATGAATGAATGAAAACCAGATATTGAAAAAAAATGCATTCGAGATTCTGCAAACAAATATTAGTATTCCATAATAAAACTAGTAATGCTATTGTATATTATGAACGGGGAAGATAGCCAATGCAAAAAGTAAGAAAACTACGTATACTAAAATATTGGATAAAACTGAGAAATGTAGGAAATTGTATTCTAAGGTCATGCTATGATGATATGCTTTGTAATAATGACATTTGGTTAATGAGTGTAAAACAATAATTATATAGAATTGGTCTTGGAAATGTGTGGGAATCTTCCAGTTTAAATAATAACATTTTTCATATTATAAAAGAACGTATTTGTGACATATTCAGACAAGGATGTCTTGAAAAAGGAGCATTGTATCAATATGTGTGTAAGTTTGGTCACCAATATTATTTATCAAAACCTGTAAATATAAATTATTTAAAACAAATATGTTAAATTCGAATGTCTGCACATAAGTTAAATATTGAGTGTGGCAGATATGACAGAACTGAAAGAAGAAACAGATTGTGTACAGTATGTGACCTGAATGATGTCGAGGGTGAGGTTCATTTCATTTTAATATGTCATTGTTATATTGATATAAGGTTGAAACTAATTATTAATTATTAATATGTAAGATATACAAGCATGTATAAATTAATTCAACTACTTAATTGTGAGAATTTAGCGGACATTATAAATATTGGCAAGTATTTAATACAAGCAAACAAGAGGAGATCTGAGCTGAATTCTGGTTAGAGTTCACTCTCAACTGTGTCTGTGTATCATATTGTATGTTGTTACAGTATGTTATAACTGATAAATCAACCGACTTAAAGCAATAAAGAACTTTAACTTGAACGTGAACCCTCGGTTCGACATACATTTTTAGCAAACTGATTTACCAACTGATGGAACAGTCAACTTTTCAGGGAACATTGAAATGTAATAGGTCCTACAAGCGATGGACATTAATCTGGAGCCATTCAGGGGTTTTCGTCACAATTTGAATTTAATGTCACGAAACGATTGGTTCCCTTGATTACTATAAAATTATGACGTAAAGACCCGAACAGTTTCCGGAAAGAAAAACATTCTCTTGTAATAAATTTTATTGCAATTGGATTATAAACTAATTTTGGTTGGTAAGTTTATATAAGGGTTGTACATCGGAAATGTGATAACTGTGCCAGATATTAATTGTACATAGAATTACGGTCGCCTTCTAGCTTCGAGCTAAAGGGAATCTTTAGCTCTGTGGTAGAGCGTCCGACTAGGAACCTGATACAAATGTTGTCGGTGGCCCTCTCTGTGGGGACAGGGAGTTGGAATATGGGATGTGGAGTTCGAGGGCGAACACATTTAATAAGGGGGAAGTAGTGTGGCAGGTTTTAATTGTACATAGGATAAAGGTCGCCTTCTAGCTTCGAGCTAGAGGGATTTTCCCTTTAGCGCAGTAGTAGAGCGTCCGAGGGTTCGATCCCGGTGGGAGCACACTATTCTCTTTCCTGTTACATAACTATGAGAATAGTGAGTATTGCTGAGTAACAGGAGCAAGAGAAGAACGGTGTCACGTGCTGTTAAATGTCACTCTTCCCTAACGCCTCATTCTGATTAGTTACAGAATAGATATCAACAATAATGTAGGCGATATTGTATCGTCTTCGATGTCAGTCTTGTAATGTTCAAGTGGTTCTCAAATAATAATGATAATAAGAGATAGAAATGAAGTTTTCTAACGTAGCTTATTATTGCCAAATAGTACTTCTGTTTTCAAAGAAAATAATTACAGTATTGTCTACAACCTGACGCAGTTTTTCTTTTTTAGTGTGTTTCTGTTTGTTTTCTTAATCTTTGTTTATTTGAGTTGTTTCTTATTTGTTTATTTAACGTTGTTGCTTTTAATCAAAACAGTGAATTAGTCTAGCGTCAATGTATTACACGTAATCATTTAATGTTTCCGCTACTGTATGCTGAATGATAGGAAAGGGGTTGAGTCCAGTAGGAAAGCCCTTGACAATTGTAGTATTTTCCCATTTTTTCCCTATCATCATTATATATTTCTCCATATACATGTTGACATATACGTACGGACGTAGTATCCTAGGTTGTTTTACCATAACGTAATTCATTATCTTTATCATACTTAATGATTCTTAACAAGACGTTGGGTTTACTAAAAAGATAAATCGGAAAAAAAGACCAGACACATTCTGTGCTCTATAAGTCGTCTTAACTACACAAACCTTTTCTAAGTCTAAACGTGACAACTACAGGTATCCTTCTTAAGTTTTTAAATTTTATGATATTTTGTTTGAAATTGTTTCTTTTCGCTTATTATTTTCGATATTGACTTCTGAATTTGTCATTTTTGTGTTAATGCTGTGAAACATTTGTTCGTCTTTACCGTTTGTTTTTTAAAAAGAAGATAAATATGAGTTTATCAATACATTTTAAGGTAACTTACCTGGCAGACTTTGATGTGTACTTAGGTCCCTGAGGGGTAACAGGAATGTATGCATCCCGTAGCATTTCCCATTGGTGTAAAGCTGGGCCATCACGATACAAAAGTTGACGGTTTTACCCACTGAAACATCATAGAAATCAAATCAACTGTCTTTTTGACCCGAGACAATTCTTTTGTTACTTGTTATTTAGCTCTACTTTAATTGTTTATATGTTTCATTCCTATCACAACCGTAGGCTTATTATTTATTGTTAATCAATTAGGAATTATACATATATGTGTCACGTGGTAAGGACAGTATGTCTATACTCATCCTCGATAATCTAGGGGTACGCTCACTTTCGTTCTCTACACACGTGTCATAGCAAAATCGAAGGCTCAATGTGCAGCAAGCACCATGTGGATGAGACGGGAAGACTAGTTTGGTCCTTTGATGTACATCAAAAAGTGACAGGCTTTGAAGTCGGGCATGGCTCCATTGTAATCTTCAAAGGACAAGTATCCGCCTTGTGATTGGTCAGGTTTTTTTTTACCTGACACCAATCAAATAGCTGGCCGCGTGTCTTCAATTTTGCTACGACATATTCCAGGGGTGTAGAGAGTGAAAGTGAGTGTACCACTGGATATCGAGGATGGTCTACACTAAACTACGTACGGTGTCCTGGCCAGTACTTCATTGATGTCAGTGTCGGCGAGTTCAGTACGAACTCTCGTGTCTTCGCGTCATAGGTTGCAGTCGTTTCCAATCCTCGGACAAAAGTTCCTAGATATCAAAATAATGAGGTTAACATGTAAACAAATGTTAGATTTGAACCGACATTGGTCAGTTATCCTCTGATTTAGAAATACGTTTCAGCATAGGAAACTACCATTTAAAACTGACATTTCATTTAAAAGATCTTCCGATAATCTCACAATCGTTTGTCTATGGTGAGATTTGGTGGTATGGCGTAATAGACGCCTAGTTGCTTATGTATCGTGAGGCTTTCATATTCCATCATAGCGAAGATTCCTCCTAAACCTGTGCTATTTTGAAAATTTATGTTGTGACTGTTTGCTTTAGTATTACATCGAAATTGTAATCACTTTGCTGCTATTTATAGGACCTAAATAGAATAGTGTGTTCCAATGAGCTTACAATTTAGCTTGTTTACTAATCATTTGGATTCTAACATTTATAGAGAACTTTAACTTAACCATTATTTTCCAATGTTCAACATCTGTGTTTTTGACTTCACAAGTCATAGAATGTAATTATATGCTTCCTTTAGTGACATACATACCATGACCGAGCTCCGTCTGGGCGTACGTTCCGATTATAGCCAGCTTCTCAGCCAGAGGGAGGTAACGCTTCCTTTGGTCCTCTGTTCCCTGTTTCCGGAGCGTGGGGAGGAACATGCTAAGATGGACGCCTATCGGACTACTCTCGTGGTTAGCCCCAGCCCTATAAATACAGTTAATAGGAACATGCTGAGATGGACGCCTACCGGACTACTCTCGTGGTTAGCCCCAGCCCTATAGTTACAGTTAATAGGAACATGCTGAGATGGACACCTATCGGACTACTCTCGTGGTTAGCCCCAGCCCTATAGTTACAGTTAATAGGAACATGCTAAAAATTAATGGACGTCTATAGTACTACCCTCGTGGTTAGCCCCAGCCCTATACATACAGTTAATAGGAACATGCTAAAAATTAATGGACGTCTATAGTACTACTCTCGTGGTTAGCCCCAGCCCTATACATACAGTTAATAGGAACATGCTGAGATGGACGCCTACCGGACTACTCTCGTGGTTAGCCCCAGCCCTATACACACAGTTAATAGGAACATGCTGAGATGGACACCTATCGGACTACTCTCGTGATTAGTCCCAGCCCTATAGGTACAGTTAATAGGAACATGCTGAGATGGACACCTATCGGACTACTCTCGTGATTAGTCCCAGCCCTATAGGTACAGTTAATAGGAACATGCTGAGATGGACGCCTATCTGACTACTCTCGTGGTTAGGCCCAGCCCTATACATATAGTTAATAGGAACATGCTGAGATGGACGCCTATCGGATTACTCTCGTGGTTAGCCCCAGCCTTATATTTACAGTTAATAGGAACATGCTGAGATGGACACCTATCGGACTACTCTCGTGGTTAGCCCCAGACCTATACATATAGTTAATAGGAACATGCTGAGATGGACGCCTATCTGACTACTCTCGTGGTTAGCCCCAGCCCTATACATACAGTTAATAGGAACATGCTGAGATGGACGCCTATCGGACTACTCTCGTGGTTAGCCCCAGCCTTATATTTACAGTTAATAGGAACATGCTGAGATGGACACCTATCGGACTACTCTCGTGATTAGTCCCAGCCCTATAGGTACAGTTAATAGGAACATGCTGAGATGGACGCCTATCGGACTACTCTCGTGGTTAGCCCCAGCCCTATACATACAGTCAATAGGAACATGCTGAGATGGACACCTATTGGACTACTCTCATGGTTAGCCCCAGCCCTATAAATACAGTTAATAGGAACATGCTGAGATGGACGTCTATAGTACTACTCTCGTGGTTAGCCCCAGCCCTATAAATACAGTTAATAGGAACATGCTGAGATGGACGCCTATCGGACTACTCTCGTGGTTAGCCCCGCTTAAGGGTCTTCGTACCACTGCCAAACACTACGTATTGGAAATTGTTTTCCAGCAAGACTTTAACTGTTATAAATAGTTTCTGAAAAAATACCTTGCGGGACTTTTATGGATAATTATAAAGATGGATATACCGAAAGTAGAACCCTGGACTTCAGATTGTTATACTTCCGGTGTAGCCGATTGGGCTACCTGATGAACGGAAGTGTACTAGCCCAAATGTGCTACAGATCCAAACGGAAATAAAGGGGTGGTTGCTTCGTATAAGAGTAACGCCATTGTAGTGGGACAGGGATCTTTAAGTGATACCCACTCTTTGTAGTTTAATTTATCTCTTTCGTCTGTTATTCCCATCTCCTCTAGACGCTTGGCCATATATATGTGTTTCCTCAAGGCGGTCTCGTATTGTTCCTTCCGTGTCATTACCGCCCATGGTTTACTGTTCTTGAGCTCGGGATCGTTGATGGCCAGGTCCTCTACAACAGAGTTATGTGTAACTGTCAGGGGAATCACTACAAAACACTATTTGTTTTAAAACAAAACAAAAAGTTTATTTTTGTGCTGAAATCAATAAAATAAAGTGGAAATAATTTAGCTCTACATCAGGTATACAGTATTAAACACAACTAATGTTATTACAGGGGAACAGGTTTGGTTAGTTATAAAAGGGTTATATAGTAACCCTATAGTAACCTGTGGGAGTATTTTCAAATACTAGACCCGATACAACATTACAATACACCTGTATGTGATATACTTGGTTCCAGTCCTCTATGTCTTTTCATGGATGCAACACTGTGGTGCTATGTACCTCAATGACCTGGAGACATACAGTTAGGCCGTCTTTTTAGATAGTAAGACAGTCCTTAAACCTGCAATATGACTGTCTTCTTCTGTAAACTGTGTCAAGAACATCATGGTAATATTTGATTTTATAAATGTCATTGCTATACCTCGTCTATAAAACAGGAGCATGTCTTATTCGATAATACTGACTAAAAAACAGAGTAAACTACTTTCCGACCAAAGATTCAAAATAATTAAAACGCTGATGCAACAGGCAAAAAAAAAAAAAAAACGCACCAAATGACAATATTGTCGGTATCGGAATCATAGGTGGTATTTAAGTTCAGATGAATAAAAAATATCTGTTTCCGAAACATATGGAAAAATACAGAAAAAAGGGAGGAGAGTTAACCAACAAACATCAAACTGGAGCGAAAGTGTCCTTGTATACAGTATATTACATCTACAACAGATACCATGTACAGCATTAAAATGAATACATGTACAGTCACACATGTAGACCTATGTGTCGTCCCGGTTATACTACTCAGCCAATCAAGATTTCTGCAAATAGTGTATAGTCATGTATAGTCAGAGCATTGGTTGTGTTGGCCGTCAATTTCCATGTTGATTACGAGCGAGTCAATATTCAATTTCAGTACAGGTAGTATATAACACTTGTTGAAGTACAGGTAGTATATAACACTTGTTTAAGTACAGGTAGTATATAACACTTGTTTAAGTACAGGGAGTATATAACACTTGCTTAAGTACAGGTAGTATATAACACTTGTTTAAGTACAGGTAGTATATAACACTTGAATGTTTCTTTAAAATGATACTCTTAGTTACATAGAAATGGCGATTTATAACATTGCTGACGGCTAGGTGCGGGTTGTTTAAGTTTGGTTCAAATTCCAACTGGGCACACATTATATTTCTATCATAATAGTTTCTTATCACATGTTTAGGCCTAGTTAATATTTATTTCTTTATTTGATGTTTGTTTTGCATCCCTCTGGCTTTATCTCTATGTTGTCTTTATTTTTAATGCCGTTTATAACTATTACTGTTGTAAATTATTGCTATCGTGTAATTAAAACACATGTATATTTTTAAAATCAAGTCATGAAGTTCGTTTCAAACAACTTACACTTGGCCGCATTTGTGTACATTGCACTACTTAAATACATTTCTTTTTCGATCTATGACTATTGCTATACAAACAATATTTAAACAAGCAAAGTGTCAACTATTTAATTATATTAGATGATTTAATCAGAGAAAACAAAATAAGCTTGAACGCAACTGGTTGTCTATACTTTATCAAGTGTCTTACATTTTGACCCCAATGAGCTAAAGACGGCGACAGGTAATATGACAGGTTGATTAAGTAAATAAAACTCACGAAGATATCTCTTCCTTTTTGTGGCCGCCACACCGCCATCAATAAAGTGTGTCAGGTTTTCCACATCGAATGTAGCACTTGTTCTTTCTTTGGCCAAGTCGGCGTTCACCGTCACTCTTCCCCTCGCCGCCATGGTGCAGAGCTAAATAGAAGGGACCGTCTCAAACTGCATTTTATAGCCGAGATCTCTTTATCTATGATAACAGTTTCAGTGTGACTATGTGAGTGTCTACACGTACTGTAATATATCAAACAATCATAGTATAGCTATACTTTACGGGTCGGTTCAAAATATAGCACGATAAATGTTACCCTGCAATGACATACGTACTACCGTCACATTTAGCAACCTGGTGAGATAAGATATTTTTAATACATACATAACACACAATTTTTGCACCCTTTAAACAAAGCGAGAATGACTACATGTTGTAAAGCGTCCTACCTTTTGACCCGAAGAAATATAGATCTATGATGATGATTTTTTGTGGAAAGTTATGTTATACAATTATTTAGCATCTTAAAAAGATTTTTGGTGTGATGTTATGAGTAATGAATTATTAGTAAACGATCTTTTAAAGTCATCTCTTTTATGATGAATCGTATGTTTAATATTTAAACCCATTATTTTATATCTTATTTCATCTGGGTCACTTTATGCGGGACAGGTTACACTAACAGCCGTTAATTGCCTTGCCCAGATTTCACAAACTTTCCGTAGTGAGAGAGCTTTTCCTATTGTAAGGAATACCTTTGAGAAATGTGCGGATGTAAATCAAAAATCGTTTGGTCTCTCATCAAAAGTCGCTGTAAGTCATCCTCGGGTGCTGTTGGCGCTGGAATGAACTATAGCGGGAGGGTCATTAGAGACCCTGCTCTTCTAGCCATACATTGGGGTGAATATTTTGAAGACATATATTCCCAGTCGTCTCGTAATGACTTTGATGCTAATTTTGAAGACCAAATCAATACATCTGTTGCCAATATTCTGTCCAATCATATAGTAAACAATGAATGTTTTGTTGAAATTTCTATGACGTTAAAAAGGTCTATAAAAGTTTACCACAAGGTAAAGCAGCTGGGCACGATCAAATTGTGTACGAGCATTTACTCTATGCCCACGACACTGTGTACAACTGTTTGTATGTTCTTTTTAATGCTTTTTTAAGATTGGAGTATGTTCCTCCTGTACTAACAAAGGGTCTGATCTGTACACTATACAAAGGTCATAACAAGCCAAAGAGTGACCCCAATAGTTATCGTGCTATCTCTCTGTTGCCAGTGATTCTGAAAGTCTTTGAGAAATTATTACTTATCAGACTTGAGGATACAAACTTGTTTATACCTAACCCCTTACAGAATGGATTTCAAAAGAATGTAAGTAGTACTTTCACGTCATTTCTAGTCCATGAATCTATCACATATGCGTGTGATAATAACAGTAAACTTTTTACATGTTTTCTTGATGCTGCCAAAGCATTTGACTGTGTTTGGCATAACGGCCTATTTTTCAAACTTCACAGTTTAGGTCTAAATTCAAAGTATATCAATATCATTGTTTCATTATACTCAAATATGTACAGCGCAGTATTGCACCAAGGTTTTATTTCTAACTGGTTTAAGATATGCCAAGGTACGCGTCAGGGAAGCATTATTTCTCCCTGGCTGTATACAGTTTTTATTAATGATTTACTGGATGAGTTATGTGCTTCACAGTACTCTTTACTTATACATGGTGTAAATGTTACTTGTCCAACTCAAGCAGATGATATTACCCTTCTGTCTTTTTGTAAACATGGCTTGGACTGTCTCATGGACATCTGCTACAGTTACAGTTGTAAGTGGCGATTTAGTTACAACGCATCAAAATCTACCGTAATTGTTTTTAATGAAAGCAAAAGTGTCTTTTCAAAGATAACACGCAGATGGAGTCTCGGCAGCGAAGCACTCCCTGAATCTATTCATTGTAAACATGTCGGTATCTTTTTGAATAAGTTCAAACCAGGCTGTCCAGATGTCAATGAGATTGTTCACAAGCTACGTGGTCAATGTTTTGCTTTGCTTAACTGCAACTTATTTGGTACTGGAATCAACCCATTGACCGGTGCTAAGCTGTATAAAACAATTGTAATGCCAAGTAGCCTTTTTGGCGGTGAACTCTGGTATTCACTTTCCGAGACCGAATGGAATCGCATTGAAACAGTTCACCATTTGTGTGCAAAGCTCATTCAAGGTTTTCCGCGGCGCACTAGATCAGATATTGTCCTTAGTATGCTTGGACTTACGTCCATACGTCTAAACATTGAACTATCGAAACTTCGATTCTTCTCTGCTTTATGCAGAACAGATGCACGTTTTACAGCAAAGAGATTGTTCTTACTGAGACTTTTTCATGTATATTTTGGCATTTGTTGTAACGAAAAAGGTTTTGTTCTAGACATCTGGAACATACTTCACAAATATGATCTACAAGACTTTTTGTACCAATTTTTGCAAACTGGGTTTGTCCCGGTTAAAAACTATTGGAAACACTTCACAAAAGGTGTCGTATTAGGTGAGTACTCCTCGCAATGGAGTGAACGTCTCAATGCTTGTGATGAGTTCTTAAGATTTAAACACCTACATTGTGAGATCAGCCCTTCGCCACTATGGTACCTATCTAAATGTTTCCCTTATCTCAACACAACGTGTAAAAACGTTGCAAAGCTATGGGGTATTCCACCTAATAGTGAACTATCATGTGCCCAGTGCAATATCTTTGCAGAAGATGCAGTTGCGCATTGTATTTTAGACTGCCGTAGTCCCACATTGCTAACTCTACGTGATGAACTTTTCACCAAGATAGTCAACGATTATCCGGTGAATGTGTATGTTGTTCTTGCTAACTCATGTAGGGAGGTGCAAATTGCGACATTCCTCGGCAGTCCATCTGCTGCCATGAAAGACATATTTGTTAATGAGGACAGCCTTTTCGCATCTTTTGCAAGAGATTGTTGNATTCACTGTAACACCGTTTGGCAGTGGTACGGGGATCAATTCACTGTAACACCGTTTGGCAGTGGTACGGGGATCCATTTACTGTAACACCGTTTGGTAGTGGTACGGGGATACATTCACTGTAACACCGTTTGGCAGTGGTACGGGGATCAATTCACTGTAACACCGTTTGGCAGTGGTACGTGGATCCATTCACTGTAACACCGTTTGGTAGTGGTACGGGGATCCATTCACTGTAACACCATTTGGCAGTGGTACGGGGATCAATTCANCTTGTTTATACCTAACCCCTTACAGAATGGATTTCAAAAGAATGTAAGTAGTACTTTCACTTCATTTCTAGTCCATGAATCTATCACATATGCGTGTGATAATAACAGTAAACTTTTTACATGTTTTCTTGATGCTGCCAAAGGATTTGACTGTGTTTGGCATAACGGCCTATTTTCAAACTTCACAGTTTAGGTCTAAATTTAAAGTATATCAATATCATTGTTTCATTATACTCAAATATGTACAGCGCAGTATTGCACCAAAGTTTTATTTCTAACTGGTTTAAGATATGCCAAGGTACGCGTCAGGGAAGCATTATTTCTCCCTGGCTGTTTACGGGGATCCATTCACTGTAACACCGTTTGGCAGTGGTACGGGGATCCATTCACTGTAACACCGTTTGGCAGTGGTACGGGGATCCATTCACTGTAACACCGTTTGGCAGTGGTACGGGGATC